CTCCAGAGGATGCAAAGCAGGTTCAGAACATGCCACCTCCATGCTTAAATGTATGCAGAGTGTTGTTTTAAGTGTATGCTTCATTCTTCTTCCACCAGACATACTGCTCATTCATTGGGCAGAAAAGTTACAGTTTTGTTTTATCGCTCCATAGAACAGAATCCCTAAAAGTCTGTGACTCATTTATATGATTTTGAGCATATTGGAGCCTATTTGGAACATATTTCCTTGTGCTTTTGGGTCAGTAGTGATGTACGTCTGGGCATTTTGGCACGGAAACCTTCGGCGTTTATTATGCGCCTTACTGTGCTCACTGAAAACACAGTGCCTGTAGCCATCAAAACTTACTGCAGGTCTTTTGTAGTTACTTAATGGTTTTTCACAACCTGCCTTCTCAGAAATTTGGTTGCAGCCATTGATAGCTTCATTTTTCTGCCCCGTCCAGGAATTTATATACAATAGTTTAGCAATCCTCTAAAGCCAGGAAACAATGCTCCCAACATGATTAAATCTTTTGGAGTACCGGTTACCTCATGAGTGATATTAGCTCCCCAATTTTACATTTTAAATTATTGGAATTAAAGGGCCAATAAAGTTGATATAAATAATGCAAGTCATTTAGCTTAGCTTGTTTACTCTTTGAAACCTTAACAATAACTTCCTGATAATAATTTTTGCCCTACCAAATTAATTTAGGAACAACTAGGCTAATATACTGAGAATAGCAAACAATCTTGTTTATTTTAATAGATAATGTTGTGTCTTTAATGCTGCTGAAAATTGCTCAACAGGGAACAGGAAATGTTATTTTCTGACAGCTAATTAATTCTTACATTTTTATGTCAGAAATTGGTAGCCAAGAGCTAGGGTGGAATACTTTTTTGCTATTTGCAATATTGTGTCCAGAACAGATGGCTATGCACATTGCACTAAGACTTACTGAATGCTGTACTACACAAAATGTATAAACTGGGTATAATCCTGTGATCCTCACCCATAACAATATACCATTATTTCTAGCTACTGGTTATATTGTCTTTCTTTGCATTCAAATGAGTACAAAAATTAGAGCTATCTCCGGCTGTCATTTGATTACCAGCTCAGCATTAGGCACAAACAGGATTTAAACAGATTTCCGTGTTAATACAAATTGAGCTGGTATTATTTGCTGGCAGAAGCCCCATAATTATAACTTATTGGCAGTCTGGAGTTTCTTATCACATGTTGCTATTTTCTCAAAATATCTGATAGCATATTAATGTGGTATATTATCAACATACTGTGTTCAAAATAAAAGATGTTAGCATTGTGTATGTCTTATAGGGACACTACAAACACCGAAAACACTGCAGTACGATTTAGTAGTAGTTATAGTGTCAGTAGTGCACTGCAGCCTCCCAATGTAAAGTAGTTAAATTTTAATGCTAATAAGTGACTCCCTATTCACAAAACTGGCTTGGAAAAAGTAAGTTTCTTTCCAAGCCTGCTTTGTAAATGGGGAGTCACTAATTGGCTGAGAGTGTCAGCTGACCGCTCTCAGCTAGCCCCTGCTCTGAGGCACTCAGAGTTAAATTTCAGAAGCTGGATGCTGCCTGGAGGGGAGGGGGGATTAGAGGGGTGCACATCGCTACTGGACGCAACTTGGTTTTTTTTTCGAGAATGGTTTTACCCCTTGAGGTAAGAGTACCTCAGGGGCCACCTGACACCATAACAACTTCATATAGGTAAATTCTTGGTCCTTAAGAGACAGGCCGCAGAGCCCAGTTAATGCCAGGTAAGAAGTCAAACTGTTCTAAAACTGTTTGACTACTTATATGGGTGGGGCCAGGGCACAACTGGCATGATAAACACTAAGGAGTGCTACAGTGATTATGGTGTTATGTTAAAATCCCTCACCATACATATATACATTTAAATTGTATGTTTTGGAGACTGTTGAATGTGATACAGTTTTCACTCATAAGACGACCACAGACCCAATAAGTCTAAATTTTTTATTTGTTTGCACACCAAGAAGTCAGAGTTTCAAAGACATTCAATCTCTACTGTGGCAAACACCACTAAAAGTAAAGAAGGGACGGCAACATTTCCTGGTTTTCTGTTCTCTCTCCCATTCATAGAAGCCCAGCAGGCATATATCTCTTCTCTATTTGTGCGCTACTCCCCGAATGGCAGTAACCGAATGGGCCAGCTGGACTTTTATGAGTTCACCCTGAAACTCCAGCTCGGCCACACATACCACCTTGTCCCGGTTATCTTATCGTTCAATTTTCACCCCTTTCCTAATAACCCAGGAGAGCGCCCTTGGAAGAGGAACTACCAGACATGGAAAGGAACAAACGCTACCTGTGAGACATGGGGAGCCCCCCTCTCACAACTGTCCAGAGACCCCATTAAAAGACCGACCAACAACTTTAACCACCTGAAACTGTTTTCAGCAGGAGACCACGCTAGCAAACGTTAAGAGGATGGCGTTTCTACAAAACCCCAGGGATTAGAGCACTATTAGGACAGTTTGTGTTTTTCCAACAAGAGCTATCTAGGGATATAAAACTGGGGGGTGAAGGGCAAGGAGGGGAGGGGGAGAGGTTATAACTGTTTTCTATGTATTTTCAGGGTTTTACTGTGTTCGGCTCTCTGTATCCAGGAGATAATTAACTTACAGGTCCTTGACTCAATTAGCCCCCAGACACAGAGATGCCTGGGCGGGATTACTGTGTAAGAGAATGGAGAACCCATACTGGAAGTCTGAGCATAACAGGCTGCATTCTGAGCAATAAAATCAGATTGCTCCCAGAACTATGTCTCTGGTTACTGGGGGGAAAAGAGCTATAGTCACACATGGAGGAGAATTTAGCGGAGGTAACCAGTTGGGTTACCGGTGGTCCGCTACATCTACTATTTTAATGATAAACCACACACAGAAGTTACATAGTAGATGTAATTTTGATCCCTTGTTTATTGGCATTGCTTTTCACTTAAACTTCTAAGCATGCTTATTCAGGGGCTTTTAAATTCTAGTCCCCACTGTTCTGAAGCCTACTCCTACACATTCTGATACTCACACCCATTTGACACGAACACAGATATGGCACACAAAGACTTTTTGCATCATTCCGAATACAATGATCTAAAGAGTGCGGTGTTTAAAGTGTCCCTTAAAGAGATTCTAATTTAAAAACATTTCCACCCTCCATCCTTTCACTTACAATTGAATCCACTATGTAAGTGATAACAAAATCTATAAATATTAAAAAGGCAACAAAAAAAGTATCTATATAGTGAGAATGACTTTCATGCCCAAGCTAACATTTTGAGGTGTTTTAAAACTTTATCTATTTTTCCATAAAGACGGACATGATTGTATTATTTTCCTATTCTCAAGAAGATCTGTATTTTGAACAGTGATGACAAGCACCATTACAATGAGTGAGACCACTACACTAGGATGTAGTGGTCAATCACTTGAATACCTACTGAAGCTTGTTATTAAAGGACCACTATAGTGCCAGGAAAACATACTCGTGTTCCTTGCACTATAGTGCCCTGAGGGTGCAACCACATGTGACAGACGTGACAGAGTCTGGAGATGCCGTGGAGAAAATCACAGTGAGAACACGCAAGCGTCCATAGGAAAGCATTGTAAATGCTTTCCTATGAGACCGGCTGAATGCACGCGCAGCTCTTGCCGCGCGTGCGCATTCAGCCGAATGGGAGGAGAGGAGGCGGATCGGAGGCAAAGAGCTCCCCGCCCGGCGCTGGAAAAAGGTAAGTTTTAACCCCTTTCCTTTCCCCAGAGCCAGGTGGGAGGGGGTCCCTGAGGGTGGGGGCACCCTCAGGGCACTATAGTGCCAGGAAAACGAGTATGTTTTCCTGGCACTATAGTGGTCCTTTAAAATGGTGATCTGGAAAAATTCTCTAAGCCAGCTTTGCTTTTAGTTCAGCTACTGTGGCCTTACATTTTCAATTCACTTTGAATTTTCACTTTAGTGTATAACCCTTAGTGGATAAACTTGAGTAAATAAACATTGCTGTTTTTAATGTGGCACAAGCTTAATTTATTCTACAAAGTAATAAAACAGTTAATATAGCTTGATCCACACAACTTATTCTGTTTATACTCCAGTAATCCAGTTGTATTGTTACTGATCTTAAAATGAACAACAGCAAAATGCTCAAACTGCTGCGCCCAGCAACGTTAATTAAAGGAAACTAGATCATTTCAGTATCTTGAGTAACAATTAAATGCATTTACTAAATTATATCTTCAACAAACACATGGTTTTGTTTTTTGATAGCTTTCAATAAAAATACACAAAGTCATCATTTTCATTAAGCAAAGTGCTACCCGAGGATGTGGTTCACTTTGTTAAATTTTAGATTCATTATCTGTTGCAAACTTCAAAGAAACCATATCTGCCTCCAAGCGTGCTCTGAAAGGAGGGGGATTCAAAACGGTTTCATTGATGTGTTCATGGTGATAGCCTGGAAATAAACAGGATATCGTTTAAAAGTGAAAACCAAAATGTCTCAATTCAGTCCCAGGCCAGACAAATGTTTTTCTTTCTTTTTCAAAAATCATATGTGTATATTGTACATTATTAATATATATATTGTGATTAGATATACACTGCTCAAAAAAATAAAGGGAACACATAAACAACACAATGTAACTCCAAGTCAATCACACTTCTGTGAAATCAAACTGTGCACTTAGGAAGCAACACTGAGTGACAATCAATTTCACATGCTGTTGTGCAAATGGGATAGACAACAGGTGGAAATTATAGGCAATTAGCAAGACACCCCCAACAAAGGAGTGGTTCTGCAGGTGGTGGCCACAGACCACTTCTCAGTTCCTATGCTTCCTGGCTGATGTTTTGGTCACTTTGAATGCTGGCGGTGCTTTCACTCTAGTGGTAGCATGAGACGGAGTCTACAACCCACACAAGTGGCTCAGGTAGTGCAGCTCATCCAGGATGGCACATCAATGCGAGCTGTGGCAAGAAGGTTTGCTGTGTCTGTCAGCGTAGTGTCCAGAGCATGGAGGCGCTACCAGGAGACAGGCCAGTACATCAGGAGACATGGAGGAGGTCGTAGGAGGGCAACAACCCAGCAGCAGGACTGCTACCTTCACCTTTGTGCAAGGAGGAACAGGAGGAGCACTGCCAGAGCCCTGCAAAATGACCTCCAGCAGGCCACAAATGTGCATTTCTGCTCAAACGGTTAGAAACAGACTCCATGAGGGTGGAATGAGGGCCTGACGTCCACAGGTGGGGGTTGCGCTTACAGCCAGAGAACACCATTTGCCAGAGAACACCAAGATTGGCAAATTCGCCACTGGCACCCTGTGCTCTTCACAGATGAAAGCAGGTTCACACTGAGCACATGTGACAGACGTGACAGAGTCTGGAGATGCCGTGGAGAACGTTCTACTGCCTGCAACATCCTCCAGCATGATCGGTTTGGCAGTGGGTCAGTAATGGTGTGGGTGGCATTTCTTTGGGGGGCCGCACAGCCCTCCATGTGCTCGCCAGAGGTAGCCTGACTGCCATTAGGTACCAAGATGAGATCCTCAGACCCCTTGTGAGACCATATGCTGGTGCGGTTGGCCCTGGGTTCCTCCTAATGCAAGACAATGCTAGACCTCATGTGGCTGGAGTGTGTCAACAGTTCCTGCAAGACGAAGGCATTGATGCTATGGACTGGCCCATCCGTTCCCCAGACCTGAATCCAATTGAGCACATCTGGGACATCATGTCTCGCTCCATCCATAAACGTCACGTTGTACCACAGACTGTCCAGGAGTTGGCAGATGCTTTAGTCCAGTTCTGGGAGGAGATCCCTCAGGAGACCATCCGCCACCTCATCAGGAGCATGCACAGGCGTTGTAGGGAGGTCATACATGCACGTGGAGGCCACACACACTACTGAGCCTCATTTTGACTTATTTTAAGGACATTACATCAAAGTTGGATCAGCCTGTAGTGTGTTTTTCCACTTTAATTTTGAGTGTGACTCCAAATCCAGACCTCTATGGGTTGAAAAATTTGATTTCCATTTTTTTTATTTTTCTGTGATTTTGTTGTCAGCACATTCAACTATGTAAATAACAAAGTATTTCAGAATAATATTTAATTCATTCAGATCTAGGATGTGTTATTTTTGTGTTCCCTTTATTTTTTTGAGCAGTGTATATATATATATATATATAGCGACAATTCTTAGATTTTTTAATACCGGCTATTAGAAAAACTGGAATATATCAAACACCTAGTGAAATTTAAAGGATATATAGGTCTAAAAATGAAATGAAAAAAAAAGGTAATTTTAAGTTTTTCCATTACTGAATGAGCTGATGTGTCTCGCAGTACTGAGATGAGCTGTGTTTATAGAGTCTATAAACAAGACATATTACTCTGTTCAGACAGCATAATCTGGGTGGAAACTGAACACTCAAATGAATACTTTGTTCAGAAGGATGTCAGTGAAAGCTCAGATGCCCCAAAATTGGCTTTTTCCAAATAAAGACTCTGGCTGATGCAACAGGAGCAGTGTTTTGTTCAGAAAAGAACATATTCTAATATATATATATATATATATATATATATATATATATATATATCTGAAATGGTAGCATCCAGTTTAGCTGCATGCAACAACTTTTATAGCAACTAATTACATTTACGGAACACTCCGCGCACCATACCGACTACAGCCGACTCTCGTGGTCCAGGTGACCAGAGTGCACTGGTGCCCTCCCAAATTATTCTTTCAAACCATTTAAGATTAATTTGACATCTGACCTGGGTCCTTGTGGGCACACGCAGACACAGTCCTGCGTCTGCATTTTCTAAAGAGAATCCAGTTCGCTCTACTGAGGTAAGCAGATCCACGGCTCAGGGAACTCATGCAGCATGCACCCATTCTTAAATGGTTTTACAACATACTCTGGGAAGGCGCTCGATCACTCCTGGAACAACCATTAGAGCAGGGCAGACAAAATGTAGATCCCCAGATGTTCTAACACTACAGCTTTTATATTGCTTTGTCATTCTAAAGACAAAGGCAAAGGCTCGCAAAGCATCAAGGTTGTAGTTCTACAACATCTGGGGATCTACCTTTTGGGCAACCCTGCACTAGAGCCTATCATGGTTCTTGGAATGTTCCTTTATATAACCAACCTGTCCCATAAAAGCATACTGTATGTATGAACCTGATTATATAATATTTTTACTTGCTGTGTATACACTTTGGGCATTTTCTGAGTATACCCTGAGATTGTATTGTCACAATGTGCTGATGATGCTTTGAAAGTGCATGTGTGAAGCATCTTTATACAACAAATGACCTTCTAGTACTCCTATCTGTCTGCATTGCTTTAATCTACAGGTTTTCTTGGTTTCACTCTAATGCTCAAGGATGGGCAATGCTAATTTTGATTTCACTTTGCAAGAACCTTATAAGCATCATTTTCTGGCACTAGAACAGAAACAGGTATCAAATCCAGAGCTAAAATATAGCCTCCCCTCGTTTGTGTTCCCCCACTTTTTTTTGCATTGATTGGAACCCCTACACTTATATAAGCCATTAAAAGAGTTGCATTCTCAAAGTCCAATTAAATCAACAGACAGTTGTCTTAAAATGCATCAGGCAATTGATACTTCCTGTTACATACCATTTTAAAACAATACCTACAGAGATTTTCTTTACAAAATGCATTAGCTGCTTCATTCAATTTCATTTCAGCAGTTGTGTTGGTTTTGTTTAATTTCTCAAACTAAAAATGAGCACCTGAAACCTTCTCCTTGATTGACTGACTGCTTCTTTCCGAAAATTTTAAATTCTTTACCATTGGTGCAGAACTCTGGATACAAAAGGAGATTTAGATCAATGACAAAACGCTCACTACATAATGACTGTCACAGCGTCTAGGTTAAAGTCTATTTGTAAAAAAAATAATCTTAAAAACAACTAACAATTTTAAAATATAAAAACATTAAACTAAAAGTGTATATTTTCATGTGACAGGTTTGCATATTAGTGTTTGTTACTTATGGACTATTTTGGAACTAATATTCCCAAACTGGTATGAAGTCTTGTAGAGGAGAAGAACCTCAACATATTTTGGGCTGGTTGGGCTTATTGGAATCATACTTGAGAATGGGGTAATACAGTTTTGCTGTATTACTGCAGCTAAAGAGGGGAATGGCTGCGTCTAGGTAGACCTACATATTACAATTACATTTATTTACATAGCAGCAACATATTCTGCAGAACTGTACAATAGATAATTTGAAGACAAACAATTATTATGACAAAACATGTTTAATATACAGGAACAGTATGTGAAAAGTATTCTCCTGCATGAGAAGACCAGATGCAGGGGATATGGTCAAAGGCTTACAACAAGCTAAGTTGTCAAACTGTGCTAAAACCATAGTTATGGTGCTTGGGAATGTTACCTTAAAACAGGGGTGCCCAAAAGGGAGATCCCAAGAAGTTGTAGAATTACAACTTCCATGATGCTTTGTATGCCCTAAGAATGCCTTTGGAATGACAAAGCATCATGGGAGCTGTAGTTTTAACAGTTTCAGCACTAGCCCAACAAGTGTGTAAAAAAAAAACCAACAAAAAAAACACAAAACAATGCAGCTATTTCTCCATATTTTGGAAGAATAAACATAGGAGACATTGGCAGCCAACTTATGCAGATGTGGCACTAACTAAATACAGAAGTTGGCAACAGCGCTGTAAGTCATACTCCCCTCCCCCTTTGGACACACAGGGTTTTAACCCTCCGGATGGATTACTCAATTGCTGGGACTGACTTTATACTGGGGAAGAAATCTGCAACACAATCTCACCTCCTTACTATCCAACAGTTTTTTTCTGGTAAATTATTAAACGCTATCTCATTAAATAAATTAAATAAAGCAACATTTATGTGAGCAAACTAGCTTTCACCAAGATTACTGAAAAGCTATAATAAATCTACACAATGTTTTTTGCAATCACTTTTTTTTTTTACTTCATGACTGCTTTTTCTGGAAAATAGTTTAACATTTATTTATAGAAAAAAAGAGAGTTTCACCGCAAGCTACATATCTGGTCTTTGCACTTGTACCTGATCTAACTTAAGAAAGTAGATGAGTGTACTTTCTTCAAATACTATGGTGTACAAACAAATTATCTATGGAATGCTTGTTCACTATACAATGCTTTGTATTTAATGCCAAATGCAGGCATGTAAAATATACTGGCCAAGATTACTGCAGTGTTATAAAGGACATTCTGGAAGATTTGGAGTTTAACTATCTATTATAATGCATTATGAAGGCAATGCATAAAAATAAACAAAAATACTTAAAATAAAAATAAAAACAAAAGACACTCAATGTGCAACTTTTATAGTGAACAGGACGAAGCTGACAAAAGCATCCTATTGATGAGTAGATCATCAAAACCTATGGTGAAATCTAGAGAAAACTACCAGCACACACCAACTCACTAAATACATTTGTGGTCCTAAGGATAATACTTGATTGCACCACTATCCTTTCAAGTGTTTACCTAAAATCTCTATATGCATTCAATCCATACTAGAGGTGTTGAGGGGGGGAGTAGGGGGCAGACTGTGTTAGAACCCTTAGTGGACCTCCAAAATGCCTTGGGTCTAAAATATATCAATTGTCGGTTCTGGTTTCTGGGGCCTGGCTAAGGACTTGAAGGCTATGTGCACATTGCACACTACGCAGATATGTTACTCACTGAAGTTCCACACTCTCTAATGCTGTGCTGTTCAGAAAATAGCGCGGCAGTGGCCATGGTGGGGACTATTAAGGAGTGAGGAGTTGGACACTGTGGAGTCCTAGAACATATGCAGATACTTTACTAATCTGTGAAATGTGGCTAACAGAGACCATCTGATTGACGCAGCAAGGCGTTTAACCATGCATGCGCACTAGCCTTTCGATCTCAGCCAAGGAAGCGAGAACAGATTGAGCAATGCAGAGTGAGATGCAAGGTAATTTAACTGTCGAGGAATATATATGAGTCCTGTGAAGATAGATTACTGGAGGTGTCAGATGTTAGTCCATTACAACTTTTTTTTTTTTTTTTTTATATAAGAATGTTTTTATTGTTTGATTTCAGAGCCACACTATTTAATCAAATAGGCCAAATCCCATGTCCTCGTCTGATTCCTCAGATTCATCTTTCTTCTCTTCCTTTTTCTCTTCCGCAGGAGCAGCAGCAGCTGCAGCAGAGGATCCTGATCCAGCACTAGCAGCAACAGCTACAGCTCCTCCAGAGGGCATACAGGCCAATTTGGTGTTACCCTGAGCGATCACCTCCTCAATGCTTTTGCCATTCAGTTCACCGACAACCTTCTCTGCTCGCTGATCATCAGTCTCAATGCCAACACTGTCTAGAATTTTCTTGAGGTCCTTTACAGAGGGCTTATCATTGCCTCCGAGGACAGCCAATAGGTATGCAGATATGTAACGCATCGTTACTGTTCGATGTGGGTCCGGTGAGGGAGCTGGGAAACGCGTGCTTCCTCTACAGAGGGCCGGAGGGAAAGAGAGTCCATTACAACTTTTAATTGGATGAAGTACAACATGGAGTTACTTGAAAGGTTTATCCAAGCACCATGACCACTTCAGTGATTTGAATGAGAGGTAATAAATAAGGTCCAGAACATGGGTAAATGGGCACTGGAATGTGCTTTTTGCTATTAGTACATGTAAGTGTCTTTGTGTATTTAGCTATTTGTGCAAATGTCTGTGTGTGGCTGTTTGTATTTTTTTTTATTGCTTTGATTAGACATACTGTATCATCTTACCTATATGCAGTGCTGTTGTCAGCTAAATTAATCTACTCCTAGTTAGCATCCTTTTTATTATGTTGCAATATATTGCATTCTATGTATTTGTCATATTCTCTGATTATTTATTTTTAAACTGTACTGTTTTAGATTTATTTGTTAAATCCAATCCTTACAACCAGTAAAGTATCTCCAGTGGATCACATTTATAACTATTAAAGAATTCTATAGCATTAGTAATAAGTACCTGTATTCCTATTACGTAGTCCATAGGTATATATAAAAAAAGGATTTTACTCACCTGAGAATCCCTCGGCGCTGCTGACCTGTTTGCTCAAGCAGGTGTTGCTTCCTCATCCTAGCTCTAACCTAATTCTTTTCATAGAGGAGAATTGGGAACTGATGGGTATGCCCAGCAAGTGCTACCCGCATTTAATGCTCCACATGGGTAATCATTGAATCCAATGCTTTCCTATGAGCTACAACGTCACATGATTTATTTATTTATTTTTCCTTTTTTATCATTCAACGTTTATTGAAGATATAGCACAAGATGGTACATGAAATCAAAGCCTATGCAAGCAAAAAAGAAAAGCAACATACGGTTGAACATAGAAATACAATAAGTAGCACATACTGTCTAAATCCCAGATCATTACCTGTGTGAGACAAACCGTAAGGATGTAAAAAACACTATGTAAAATCAAGTCAGAGATAGGCAACAGAAAGTATTTGTAAAAGTTGTGTGTCAAGAAGGCCTAGTGAGGAACATGTTATCTTAAAAAAAAGAACAAAAATGGAACACCATACCCACCACTTGGTATACCTTGGGTAAGGAGTATTGTGTGTCAGTATAAAGTGTGTTCTGTGCCATTGTAGAAAATGGGAAAAAATAGTTAAAAGGACATATCTCAATAACCAGAGTGGGACTCATGGGCCCAGTGTAAAGACCCTCTCCCGAGAGATCTGTTGTATAAATGTATGTCCCGGTATCTCTGGGGGCTAGTACCAAGCACACGTGGCCATGTAAAGGGAGAAGAAGAAAAAAAAAGTGCTTCCAGAGTAATCAATTATATTATGTACAGCTTAAACAGGTTAAAGATACGTAAGGGTCGTACAACCCCCTCCCCCTAATCCAAACGCAGAAAATGGATTAAATTAGTGCTACCCAGAGCAACCCAACACATAACATTGCCAGTTGGTACTTGAGACCTCCCACCGCTTTTTACTTACCAGACAGTGCTCCACCACTGGAAGCTCCGCAGCCTAGTGGGCATTCGAGGGACCTGCCAGTCTATGTTCCCTCCACCCCTTAATTGGGTTAGCGCTCCCCCAGGGCATCTTTATGTATATATATATATATATATATATATATATATGTATAGGTGTATAGATATACCTGGAACAATTATCTCTGTGTATTGTTTCTTAAAAAAGTATTGGCATTTTGCTATAAAATGTGATTTGTTTTAATATGATGTTTTATCAGATACGTTCTTGCAAATCTGAAAAAAATGGGTACATAGCAAATTACCTTTAGCAGGCATTCACATGTTCAATGAATTAGTTCAAAATTATTTAGCAGAACTGCTATTTGAAGGTGACAATGCCAAGTGAAGGCAGCTGTCTTTGTACTAGCACTGGTTGTGATCCAAACTATGTAAAATCTCTTGAAGCTGAACAAGATATTGTACTGAATACCAAATAGTTCATAAGGCAGCAAAAGGTAATGGGTCATTTTATGACTTAATTGCAAAAATTGCTACAGATATATATTTTTCACTAAGAATAGGTACATTTGGTGCAAAATGTAAGCTACTCTGTCAGCAGTTTTATACAAATTGACCTTTTATATGTCTGTATTTACCCATCTGCTGGATTTGTTTTGAAGCATTTTAATAAACCTATTATAATACTGTGCTTTGCACAAATATTGCCAATAAGCTTTTATATTAAATCCAACCATCTAATTTTGACATAATAGCTATAATCATTGTAAGTCGAAAAAATAAATATCAATAATAAACTTAACTTCGAACATTATTCATCAATTTCAAATTTTTTTATGTACATTGCCTTTGAGTTAATATTTTTGGATCTGGACTGCCATTTGTCCTGGTATCAATCTGATATGCAAATGTCCTGGGTTTTCTTTGTAATGGCACAAGATTTGAGATTTGAGCTGGAACCCACCGATAGGCAAGCTACTTGAGCTGTTATCCATTCTCAGTATTCTTTTACTATCTGTTCTTTTACTCTTCCCAAGTACATAGGATAATCTATACGTGGACCCCTTGCTCACTGTACCTAGAGTGGTAATGGCTATACCTCACTGACAAGGCCTAACAAGGCCAAAGCAATCGTCTGGGGTTGCATCTCTCATGGAGAGAGATGGCCTGCATTTATGCTAAATCGAGGACATTGTGCTTTGAGGGCCTTTAGGGCAGAACAAAGAAACATAATTCTGAACAATCATATTTATTTTTTAATACAGATAGGGAAAAACAAACATATATTCTTGCAGTCTTGAAATACCAAGGGCTTATACAGATTTAGAATAACATACTCAGATACAATGACCAACAAGAAGGAAGACGTGTAGAATGGAAAGAGAGGATAGAGGAGGCAGGGTTAACATGCAGAATACAAAAATTTTTAAATAAAATAAAAACTGATAAAACTGACTATTCAAAATATAAAGCTAATGATTAAGCTATAAAACACAAAAATATTATATTAGTGCCTGGACTGCCCCATAAAATATTTCACTATCCATATATCTTTCGAAATTATATGCACATATGCATTTAAATAAAGTATTTAAAAAAAATTATTCCTCCATATTAAAAAATAAATATGATAGTTCAGAATAATGTTGGCTTATGTAGATGAGTTTATTCTTGAAAGACGGCAGTTGCTGTTGTTGGGATTTGGAGTATTGAGATTGCTTAACCCTGGAAAGATTTTGCTTTGAAAAGAAAAGTTACACATGCATTACGCACAGCCAGACCTGGTTTTAAACTGGTACCCATGGCATTGCCAAAAATAGCCATGTTTATGAAAGAATCATTGAGCCTTAATCTCAGAGAAAGAGAAACAAAAAAATAGAGAATATATGAAACAGGGAAACTGATATATACTAAGCACAATTATTGCTGAGAAGCCTGGGTGCTGGGCAGGCTTTCTGTTATCAAATGGTAAAAATAGTTTCACACTTACAAAAAGTTAAATATTTATTTCTCACAACTAACTTGGCTGCTGTAAAAGGAATTTGCCAAAATATATCCATTAACTATGACAGTTTATAACACGTTTGTGCCAATACTGTGTAAATTCTGCAGTTTTTAATTCCAATCAAATCCAATTTGATAGCAAATAATATCCTGCGGTAAAGCCCCACTGCCTTTTGATCATGATACTATTTGATTAATAGGCAAAATATTCCCTAAGCAGAGTTGCTTATTTTTCCTACTTGTAGTAGTGTGACTGGATGAATGGGATGCAGTATGCAGTGTATGACAGGGATGAAAATAAAATGAAAATCTTAGGATTTACAACCAAGTGTAATGGAAATTTTGATGAAAAAAATTCTACATTTAGGTTTCTTAAATCAGTAAGACACAAAAGTGCTGATATGAAAATGGGGAGATTTCAAATATATTTGCCCTTAACTCATCAGGACTACTTGAAAACTTGGTGGCTGTTTAGTTTCAAAGTCAAGATCGAGGAGATGGCAAGACAACTAAATCAACCAAGCAACATGGAAGACTGAACTGTACATTTTGTGCAGTTGTGATATGGCTCAATATTGTTGAGCCAAAACATATATATTAAAGGACCACTCTAGGCACCCAGACCACTTCAGCTTAATGAAGTGGTCTGGGTGCCTGGTCCTTCTAGGGTTAACCCTTTTTTTTTTATAAACATTGCAGTTTCAGAGAAACTGCTATGTTTATGAATGGGTTAAGCCTTCCCCTATTTCCTCTAGTGGCTGTCTCATTGACAGCCACTAGAGGCGCTTGCGTGCTTCTCATTGTGATTTTCACAGTGAGAGCACGCCAGCGTCCATAGGAAAGCATTGTAAATGCTTTCCTATGAGACCGGCTGAATGCGCGCGCAGCTCTTGCCGCGCGTGCGCATTCAGCCGGCGGGGCGTAACGGAGGCGGAGAGGAGGAGGAGAGCTCTCCGCCCAGCGCTGGAAAAAGGTAAGTTTTTACCCCTTTCCCCCTTCCAGAGCCGGGTGGGAGGGGGACCCTGAGGGTGAGGGCACCCTCAGGGCACTATAGTGCCAGGAAAACGAGTATGTTTTCCTGGCACTATAGTGGTCCTTTAACCAGGAAATGATTCATCTGGTTCACATTCAGGAGCACACATTACCGAAGTAAAATAAGACCAACACCAGAAACCAGAGCATATCAAGTGTCATGGCTCCGGGCAACATGGCACAGCATTCAAAGGAGTAGAAACCAAATATTTAAAGGACCACTATAGGCACCCAGACCACTTCAGCTCATTGAAGTGGTCTTGGTGCCAGTTCCATCTAGGGTTAACCCTGCAGCTGTAAACATAGCAGTTTCAGAGAAACTGCTATGTTGACATTAGGGTTAATCCAGTTTCATTGACAGCTACTAGAGGCGCGTCTCACTGTGAAAATCACAGTGAGAAGATAGGAAAGCATTGAGAAATGCTTTCCTATGGACTGACTGAATGCACGCGCAGCTCTTGCCGCGCATGCGCATTCATCGGAAGAGGGAGGAGAG